CCGCTGCTGCTGCTGGTGCAGCCGTGCCCCCCCAGCCGCCGTTCATGCCAGGTGACTTACCTCTGCAAGAATCTCCTTCAGTTTCAGGTAGGCTACTTCTAGGTTGTCATTAATAATGACCAAGTTGAAAAGGCCGGGCTCCTTACCTAGGGAGCCCAAACAGAGCACAGCAATTAGGACCTGTGGAAGGGATGGCAGCTCCTTAGACTTCTCTTTTGGGAATTTAAGGCTTGGGGACTTTCAGCATTTTCATTTAGTTTCGTAGTTTCTAGGGTCGGAAGGGACCTGAGCAGATCATCTAGTCCGACCCCCTGCCATGGCAGGAAGAGCACTGGGGTCAAATGACCCCAGTAAGGTGGTCATCCAACCTCCTCTTAAAAACCCCCAGGGTGGGAGCCTGCACCACCTCACTTGGAAGCTGGTTCCAGACCCTAGCCGCCCTGACCGTGAAGTAGCGCCTCCTGATGTCCAACTTAAACCTTCCCTCCGCCAGCTTGTGACCATTGTTCCTGGTCACTCCTTGCGGCGCTCGGGGGAACAGGGACTCCCCCAGCGCCTGCTGATCCCCCCTAACCAGTTTATAACAGGCCACAAGATCCCCCCTCAGCCTTCTCTTTTGAAGGCTGAACAGGTTCAGGTCCCGCAACCTTTCCTCATAGGACCTACCCTGCTGTCCCTTGATCATACGAGTGGCCCTCCTCTGGACCCTCTCGATGCTGTCCACATCCCTCTTAAAGTGCGGCGCCCAGAACTGGACGCAGTACTCCAGCTGCGGCCTGACCAGTGCCGCATAGAGGGGGAGGATCACCTCCTTGGACCTGCTCGAGATGCATCTGTGGATGCACGACAAGGTGCAGTTGGCCTTCCTAGCCGCCTCCCCACATTGCCGACTCATGTTCATCTTGGAGTCAATAATGACTCCCAGATCCTTTTCCACCTCCGTGCTGACAAGAGGGGAGTTCCCCAGCCTGTATGTATGGTGCCGATTGTTCCTCCCCAGGTGCATCACCTTACACTTGTCTGTGTTAAACCCCATCCTGTTCTCCTCCGCCCATCCTTGTAACCTATCTAGGTCCAACTGTAGCCTGTTGCTCCCCTCTATTGTGCCCACATCCCCCCACATCTTAGTGTCATCAGCAAACTTGAACAGGGTGCTTTGCACCCCCTCATCCAAATCACTGATGAAGATGTTGAACAGGGCGGGCCCAAGGACCGAGCCCTGTGGGACCCCACTTCCCACGTCCTTCCAGGTCGAGAAGGACCCATCCACTACCACCCTCTGGGTGCGACTCTCTAACCAGTTGGCGACCCATTGGACTGTATGGGTGTCTACGCCACAGTCCCCCAGCTTCCTAATGAGAATGGGGTGAGAGACAGTATCAAAAGCCTTCCTGAAGTCTAGGAAAACTATATCCACTGCCACCCCTGCATCCAATGATTTAGTGACCTGGTCGTAAAAGGCCACCAGGTTGGTCTGACAGGACCTGCCGCTGATGAACCCATGCTGGTTGCCCCTGAGCATGCAGTTCCCTGCTGGCCCCTCCTGGATGTGTGCCAGAATAATTTTCTCGAACAGCTTGCCCAGGATCGAGGTAAGGCTGACTGGCCTGTAGTTCTCCGGGTCCTCTTTCCTCCCCTTTTTGAAGATGGGAACCACGTTGGCCCTCTTCCAGTCCTCCGGCACCTCTCCAGAGCACCACGAGTGTTCATAAAGCCGTGCCAGGGGACTTGCAATGACCCCAGCCAGTTCCTTTAGGACTCTAGGGTGAAGATCATCCGGGCCGGCTGACTTAAAGACGTCCAGCCCCTCCAGAAGCTCCCTAACTAAATCCTCACTCACTCTAGGCCCAGGTGAGCCTCCCCCGGGGCCCGAAGGGGGCCCAGCAGGGAGGTGGCAGTTCTGGTCCTTACTGAGGAAGACAGAGGCAAAGAAGTTATTAAATATGTTGGCTTTGTCATCTGGCGTGACAACCAGATTCCCCGTCTTGTCCTGCAAGGGCCCCACATTTCCTGGGGCTTTCTTTCTACTCCCTATGTATTTAAAAAAGGACTTCTTGTTGTCCTTAATCCGGGAAGCCAGCCCCTGTTCCATCTCTGCCTTGGCCTTCCTAACCATCCCCCTACATCCCCGAGCAACTGCTGAATAGTCCTCCTTAGTGATGACCCCTCCTTTAGGTGATGCTCAGGGTGCTCTCTGCCAAGTCATTTACTGGGGGAGCATGAAACCTTCTACTTGGGTCAAGTCTAGTCCTAGGTGCACATCATGATAGGGCCTGTATATAACATAAGCTCATAGGCATTTAGTCAGAAGGCAGGGTAGATATGCAACTTTTATAGACTTACTAAAAAATGTATAGGCATATGCATATGTATATAATACGGAGCAAGAGAGTAAGAGCACATGAGCTTTCAGGAACCCAAGTTCTCTTCATCAGTTGCTGTGAAAGGACAGCATAGAGCAGGGCACAGGCATTTAGGCCAGAAGAGCATATTAGGACCATTTACTTTCCTCCTCATTAGCTGACCAAATCTCTTCCAGGAAGTTTGCATGTTCTGGTAGATCTAGTGCCTGGCACTCTGCTTATGCTCTCCACAAGAAAGCGAGTCTCCATGCAACATCCTAAAGCAACAGGAGTTTGAGCAAAACCCGAGGGAAAGAAAACACAGCACAGACTGTGTCAGAGTGGTGGAGGTAGAACAAGAGACAGGACAGGAGTCCAAGATCACAACACCCCCTGCAGCTGACCTTGTAACAGAGCCAGGACCAAAAGGTTAAATCCTTCATGTTTTGAAACAATGCCCAGAGGTGGAAAATAGTGCTAGAAAATCCCAGAGGCGTTGGAGGAGCAGGAAAGCTGTTAGTCTGTTTCTTATTACTAAAAGGCCCTCCTGGAAAACTCCACAGGATCCTCCCGGGCCCTGGGAACACACGGTCGGAACTGGGGCACATGGAGGATACTGCAGGCAATGCAAAGGCAGCAGGGGATGTGAGCTGGGGGACACGTCTCCATGAGGCTCTTGCACTTACTAAGTTCCAAGTCGACACGAGCCGCCTTCAGCCGCTTCTGCAGACTCTCCTCGGTCTCCGTCTGCCTCTCGCGCAGTCTCTTTTCCTAGACCCCAAAGATGACAAATGTCAGGGGGCATCTGAGAACCAGTTTAGCAAGCAGCCCATTCCCTTCCTTGTGCCCTGAAAGTCTATTCTGTCACCACCTATGTGGGGTCCCAGTCACTGGTTTCCAACCTGTGTCTACCAGGGTACAAGGAGGGCTCTACAGCTGGTCTAAAGATTGCATGGGGCCCTGATTAAAATAGTGATGTGGAGGGTGTGGGGTGGCCTGTGAGAAATGCTGAGTTGGCCCATTGGTTCCAAAAGCTTGGAAATCACTGGGAATGCCCTGTTCCCTCAGCGCAGGAGGGCTGGACGTGGCTGTGTCTGGAGCCCGGTGACAAGATGAAGTACAGCAATGTATGTGGTTGGGGAGTGTGTACGGACCTGGATCAATAAGCCTACACACACGGAACAGATGCATTATATCATCTTAACAACTGGTTTAGCAACTTGCTCCAGGCCCTGACGGAGAATCACTGCCCAGGCTGGGATTCAATGTCAGGGCTCCCAGCCTTGCACCCCTGGAGCTGTCTGCAGCAGCACAGAGGTGACTCTTCAGAGCTGGTGTTATGACAACAGCACACAGAGCAGCCTTTTCCCTTGCACAATGCACTTAAGGCAGCAAACAAAGAAGAGGGGTGGGTGGGGAGGAATGGGGGAGCCCACAGAGAGGCACTGGGTTGGGACTCAGGAGATCTGGGTCACTCCCTTACTCTGCTACAGACTGAGCGAGCCCAGATAAGTCACTTTCTGCTCCTTAATTCCCCCTGTGTAAAGTGGGGGTGGGGAGCAGAGGGAAGGGGAAGGAAGGAAGCGAAAACATTCCCACCCTCACAGAAATACTATAGGGATGATATCATGAACGATGAGCTCACAGAACAGAGATCAATGGGCCGTCTTACCATGCAATACCAGCCTCGCTAGGACTAATGATGATATGGATGCTGACATCAGTCCCCTCTAGGAACCATCATGACTTTGCAGACAGCTGCGAGTGCAAAGCTCTCCTGACCATGCAAAAAAAACCAGCCAGGCTGTCAGGAGCTCACAGCCCAGAGCCAACGCAACTCCAAGCACAAGGAGGTAGAGCCCAGGGGGGCAGAGACTTGCAGGAAGACACAGGGATAAGCAGCAGCAGGAGAAAGTGCGTGCAAAGGCAGAACCAGGGTACAAGGTGCAGGGATAAGAGGGGGAGACAGCAGGTCTGCACAGACTCCTTAAAGGCTCTGTAGCAAACCGTCAAAAGAGGGGTAAAACAATTCCCTATCCCTTTATTAAATCGATGCATCTATCAGGTCGTTTCCTACTGCACCTGGAGATACAACTGCGTCTTTCCTTGGAAACAGCGAAGTCCAGACATATGAAAGGAAGCCCCAAGACTCACCAAGACTTCCAGGGACGGAGGCTGGATGGAGATGTAGATGGGATTCAGATCCGTCTTCTTGATGTTCTTGACTCCCTGCATGTCAACGTCCAGCACGCAGATCTGGTTCTGGGCCTGCACAGCCTGTACGGCGGCTTTGCTGGGGAAGGGAGGGGAAGGAGCTGGTTACTGTGCAGGAAGAGCTGCGAGTCCACACGGCTCCAGCAGCAGGCCCTTGCCCCTCACGTGGATTGTACTGGACCGCACCACACCCCATACGGTCTTTTGCATGGACAGTTCCCTTGATGACCAGACTCTCACGTCCCTGTGGGAAGCTGGAGAGCAAATCAACATTGGAAACATGCCTCAGTTGTGTTAACAGCTCCATCTCTCTCCTCCTAGGGAACGGGGGTGATTCTAACCAGCTGGGGACCCCAAGATCCCACCTCCTTGGACCAAGGGAGTGAGGAGTGGCAGGACCTCCTTTCCTACCACCCATGGCCTACAGAACACACCGGGAAGCCTACATCAACCTGAGTGGAAAGCCATGGAAATGGCTCTTCATTCTCTCTTCATCCATGGAAATGGATAAAGCGAGGACGTTGCTTTCCATTGGGGCAAGCACTGAGCAGCCTGCTCAAGGTCTCTGGTACTGGGGATCAAATGCCACAGCTCCTGCAAGTCTGGAAAAACTATAAGGGCGGTGACACCGGCAAAAGCAGAGATGCCTGAAGGAAGAGCTTTTTGAAGGGAATGCAACTATCTTTGCTCCTACTGTCCCTGGAAAAGGAAGGATCTTCCACAGATTTGCTGGTTTGGGACAACACAGTTAAAATGCCCATTAAACCAGCCTCTCCTTGGACTGTCTTGGGCCCTTAGGCAGTCCTGGAGAATTGCCCCTGCTTCTCCCTATGTTTCTACAAGAGCAAAACCAGCATCTTAAAAGGACTCCCATTACTTGAATGCATAGAGGAGAACTGCCCAGAATAATAAAATGACCAGGTCTAAGCTCTTTGGGCTGGGGCTGTTTTTTTTGGTTCTGGATTTGTTCAGTGCCAGGCCTGATGGAGCACCGTGTCATGGCTGGGGATCTTCAGCAGTAATGCTGGAGAACCGGCTGAAGTTGAGTTCAAATTGCCTGAAGGCGGCAGCAGAGGATAAAAGAAGGAGCTGTTGTCAAGCCTCAAAACAATTACAAAGTTGTCTTATGATGCTCAGTCCCTTACCACCCTCACACTTCCCCAGGGGCACCAGATATCTCAGGGATGTGACAAACCATGTGCAGAGCAGAGGAAATGATGGCTGTCTGCTGGGTTATGTTCCCCTGTTCTCAAGGCCCTGCCTACCCTGGGCACTAGCGAGTGCACTCCCGTCCCTGGGCTACTGTTTTAGCAAATGCCATGGCATGAAGGCGAATGAATGGCCTGCCCATTCGCCCACCCTTCCCTTGTGCCCTCTCCACGCTGGCCCCTGCCCACAGCCCCCCCCAAGTCTGCTCAGCCACTGCTGCCTCCTCCCAAATTCTTCCTTCAAGCCCTACGAGAGCTAACAGATCCCCAGGGGACAGTGATGCCTGCCACTGACTGGACCATCCCTGTCCCAGACAGGCAGGTTTATGGAGGGCAGCAATCTCTCCTCCTTCCCCAGCGAGTCTTGTTCCCCAAGATGTGGTCTCCCTGGGACCCTAGGATGACTGCAGTAATAGCAAGTCCATCAGAGAAGGACCCCGATTCCTCAGAGGCAGGGCAAGCCATGAGCTCCATTGCTCCTGTCACTTCACTGGGAGCTGACCTCCCCTCCACAGTCCTGCCTATGGATGCAATTGCTGTGCCCTCCTTCCTTTCCCACGTGTCCTTTCTTTCTTTCAGCTCCTCTTTCCTGGAGCCTTATTCTATTTGTGGGCATTTCCCTTTATCCTGTTTACTTCCCTCACCCAGGTCTCCTCCATCCTCCTCTTTCAGCCCACAGCCACGACTCCTCTCCCTTCTGCCACCCAGATGGCCCATTCCCCATCTGCTCCCAGTCCCTTACCCCCCAGGCCTGCGTGGCATGTCCTCAAAACGTGGTGGGAGAAGAAAACACTAGGCAACAGAGAGCAGCTGACGAGTGCAGCATAACAGCAGCTCATAAGAAGACAGAGAGGGCTGTGTGCTCTTAGAAGAGGGTGTTGCTCATGGGTCAGGAGCGATTTAGGGTGCACGCATCTCACAGATGCAGAATTGTAAGTTATACTGAAAGCGGTACAAGGAAGCACTGCAGCATCTGGCTACAGAGGCCAGAAGAAGTTTTGCCTATGGAAGCCTGATACATGATGCAAAGAAAAGTCCTGGAAAGGAAGGGGGGTGGGGGGGTGGGCATCCAGGACTCAGGCTCAAGCCACAGGCACTGAGCACATGGGCATGGTGAGCACTGCTTGCTCAGATGGAGAGGAAGGACTTAGCTAAACTTGGGAGACATGGGTTCAATGCCCTGCTCTTTCACAGGCTGCCCACGTGGCCACAGGCAAAGCGTGTGGCCTCACTGCCCCCAGCTGTAAAGTGGGTCTAATTTCCTCCCAACTTGGGGTGTTGTAAGAACTGCATCCAAGAGGGTGAAGTGGCTCCCAACATCCAAGCAGAGCAATGCAAGAGGACAATCCATTCCAGTCCTTGTCCCTATGGCACAGAACTATTTTAAACAGCGGCAAGGAGAGGAAAGCCGGGCTGTGAAACAATTCCTGCTGCAGCACACGATGCGAGTCACGGCTTCCACAATCACTGCTGGGATTCCCACAGTAATCCCAGTCTAAAGCCTTCAAACCCCACCTTGTGATTATGACTGAGCACTGTTTAAACACTGCAACCCACCAGCTTGCCACTCTGCAGACTGAGCTCCTCACGGCTCTGAATCACACCTCTATTTTCTTACCCCAGATCCACAAATGCTGTTAGTAACCAGAGCCATGGCTCTATCCAGCATGGACCCACATTGTCCTGAATGCTAAACCTTTAACTGGCTTTTCCCTTCTCCTCCCAGTTACAAGCTCTAAAACCACAAAGCATCCTCAACTACCATTGATTTCAATGGGAGTGGAGAGTACAAAATCAGTCTCTACAGCTGCACACACATACAAAGCAAAAATATTGGTGGTCTGTCTCAAGACATCTTCAGAGGACAAGCACTCAGCATTATTTGGGGGGTGGGGGGAGGTCCCTTTAAGTGACCCACTCCTGCTGGGTGTCCAAGAGAGAGATGCATGCAAAATCATAAGTCTGAAAATATCTTGGTCCTAACGATGTCTGAGGATCAGCTGTTCTTCAGAATCACTTGACCCTTTCACAGATAGAATTACTCTTTCATTCAGGTTTTTGTATCTTTTCTGTCATGATAATATGGTGGAGAAAACATAAGGAACTTTAATGATACCAGCAATAAACTGAATTAAAAGATTGTCAGGTATTTGGTCCCCTGAAATCATGAATCACTTCAGGCATCCAGGTTGTAGCCGTATTGGTCTAGAGGCAAAAGGAATCAAAAAACTCGTGGCAGAGGTGATATCTTTTATTATTTTTTGCAAATATCTAATTGGTCTAATAAAAGATATCACCTCTGCCACGAGTTTTGAATCACTTCAGAAAATTTGGAATTTTTTTTTTTTATGGCTGTATATACGTGATGCCATAGCCGTGTTAGAATCAGAGACCTGAGGAAGAACGTCTTACATTCAAACGCGTCTACCTTTATCCCAACTACATCATTGGTCCAATATAATGTATCACCCTAAGAAATCCCCATTTTTTTCCTGTTGCATATTTTATTGTAAAAACCATCGTTTCAGCTTACTTTTAAAACCATTTTCAATTTTAATTCCAATGCATTCTACTATTGATAAGGTGTCCTATTCATTCCATTGTCACCATCAATGCCTTCAGACCTGACCATGATTACCATGAGAGTTTTTATTAAACAGCTTCTAATTAACAGTGTGTCTGCCTTTGTGGCTTATGAACAAACAGCTTGGAGGCCAAAGCGATGCTATTTTAGAATCTGCCTAGCTGAGGGTGGCAACCACATGGAGTTTAATGTGAAAACAGTAACTCTCCCAGACTAGAGCACAGAAGCTTGTTTCCACTTGCAACAGAAACCATATAGGTTTATGTCAGCTGGACTGATCACACTTGGGGGACAGGGTATCATAGGGTGGGATGGGGATTTCACGTCCCACTTTGTTTAATTCCAGTGTGGATACTATGAACCACAGGAGTTTCAGTCAGACTTTGGGCCTTGAACCGAATGTCAAGTGCTGCACAGGTCTCCTGAAGACCCTCTCCACTGGGGTAGATGTCACCACCTATGGCTAGTGACAGAATAAAATTAAGTGTACCACGCCGTCAAAATAAGAAGCTTCACCTAAGGAGAGCATCTACCTGGTTTGAAAAGAAGAGCATCATAAACACACAGCCCCAACACCATCTTCATGGAGAACACAAGAGTGAGTCAACCCCTGGACTACTGGAGATGGTGCAATTGTTACAGACCTTGTTCCGTACATATTTCCAGAGAACTCTGCGTGCTCGATAAATTCGCCAGCATTGACATCCTTCAGCATATCTTCTCTGGTCACAAAGTGGTAATCTGGATAAATGATATTGAAAAAACACATCAATTCACAGCTTTTCCTTGACTTGGAAACACGTTTAAGGCTCAGGGCCAAGTTTACTCAAGTGTTTAATACACACTGAAGCATCCACATGACTATCTGGGAACAGATTTGTAAAGTGAGGCAGTATTTAAAAATCAGACTAATTATGCAGTTGGGAAAGATGTTAAATCAACCACTAAAGGCCCTTCCCCGAGGGCTGGGAAAGAAGCAGGTTCCCGGTATTTGGTTGCAGCTATAGCTGCTTCTTTTCCAACGTTGAGAAAGGGGATTTTGCAGTTTTCTAACATCTCTCTCAACTACATAGAAACCAGGCACCTAAATCATCTTTGTGATCCTTTACATGGTAACTGAAGACCAATTTTCAGACTTGAGTACCTGGAAACCAAGCACCTAAAACCAGTCAAAAATATTGCCTCACCCCACAAATCTTGCTTCTCTTGTATTCCCTGGACCATCCTGGCTATCCCACCTCCATCATTCTGGACAACTAAGTGCTGATTTAGGTGCCTGGCTTCTGGGTACTCAAGTCTGAAAACTGGTCTTCAGTTACCATGTAAAGGATTACAAAAGCTGCCTCTTCTTCACATCATGGTATCTGTTAATACCCTTTGCATCTTTACACCGAGCCAGATAATACCCTTCTGCTGTTTACATTGACACTTCTGCTCTGGTTCTCCAATGACTACCTCGCTACAGTACCACGCTGGCAAAACGCTGATAGTAGCTCACTTTCAGACTAAACGCTTTGCTTTTGCTGGGGAAGCCACCCCTCACCTCTCCAACAAAACATACCCAAAAATCTCCACTTTGGGCTGAAACGTGCTGGCTCATTTTGAAGGAAAAAAACCCCCACACACTTCATGTTTGCATTTCTGAAATATCCAAGAATAAAAGGCACCAGCAAGTCATTTCATTTGCCTTTAGACCCTGGAATGACTAGCATTCAAGCCTCATTTGCTCTGGCAATTGAGATCAGTCTCATGGCTCCCTGCAAATCAGTAGCAAAGGAGTCATCTCAGATTTCATTGGGGCTTTATTTACTGCTATTAGTAGCACATTTCTTGGATTAAGGATGCAGTCCAGAGTTTAACAACCTGTGTGACTGAAGGCCAAGATTTTCAAAACTGGGCACATCAAGTTAAGCTCTTAAAACCATACAAGAGATTCCTAATGAGAGCAGCCTGGTTTTCAGATGTGCTGAACACACAGAAGCTCCCACTGCAGCTGCACAGGAGCTGCTGAACACTTGGCATGGTTGAAAATATAGGCTGCTGAAGTGTTTTGTTATAGACCAAGGAGCCAGACTTCAGGCACCTGCTTTTGAAAATCCTGGTCCCCACATCACGGGGGCAGCACCCGAGGAAGAAGTGTGGGAGTGCCTGCCTTCTCTTCTAAACCCACCACTCACTTTTTCCAGCATCTGGGATAAACCTGGACTCCGGTTCTACTGCACCTGCTCTATTCTTCCTCACATATTGCTGGGTAATGCTGCTATGTGCTATTGCAGCTGTACCGCGCCACAGCCCAGACAGCCTCACTCACTGAAGGATGAAGGGATCCTTGTGTATCGTATGCAGCTTCAGTATATCAGTCTTTTTGGGACTGTTCAGCATGAAAGGAGCAATGGAGAAGTGTGAAAGACTGTTCTGAAGCAGATGCTCCTCCTGCCTGCCAGCAGGCCAAAGAAAAAACACTCTGCCAACTCTAAGGAAACTCATTAGCCTGGCTTCCCAGCAATGGCACATTCAGTGGACTTCTTCTTTCAACTACAAAGATTGCTCAGAGATTTATCCATCCCTTGGCTTCAAACAGGTCTGTACTTCAGCTTCTACCAGCAGAACCTGCTGCCTATCTCCAGCTCTGCAAATTCCACCTCCGCTCCCACAGGAAATGCTGTCTGGACCAGGGATGTCACACATACAGCCCACAGGCCAGAGCTCCATCATCTGGATCCTGGTGCTGCCCCGGACTAACCCAGGGTGCAGTACACAGGATGTGCACTGCCTGCTGGGGCCGGGGCTGGGTCTCAGGCTGAGCTGACCACAGTCCTTGCTCTGCACGAACCACACTATCCACTGGGGCTAGTGTCCCAGACTGGCAGGTGCTGCATACACTGGATCAGGCATGTGCGGGGAGGCGGGGAAGAGGGGTTCGTGGGCTCATAGGAGTTTGACACCATTGGCCTACACCACTCAGAGCTGTGGCCCTGCCTCACCTGATGGCATGCACTACTGCAACATACTGACCTTTGCCATTCACTTCTCCTGGTCGCGGCTGCCGAGTGGTGTCTGCAAACAAAGACAGTCCTGTAATTTTGCAATTCACCCAACAGTGCAATAATGCCAAAAAAAGCAATAAAAAGTGATCCCCCCGGAAGCTTAATTCAATCAATCACTGGGCCATTTGATCCCCTATTGATCAAAACTTCTGGAACCATTGCGACTGGTGCACAACACAGTTTGCCTTGACAGTAGAATCCAGATCCTTCCTGGGGTTGTTCCCCATCCCCTGCTCTGAAGATGAGGGTTTATGAACTAGCCAGGAGCACACACAGGTGCAGGAGCAGTTGTGCAGGACTGCTGAGATGCTTGAGCTGTTTTCTGTGGCTTTTATTTCAAAGGGGACTTCTTCTCCTACCAGCTGTGTGGAGAACTGGCATCCTCTGAAGTAAAGCCTGCAGCCAACAGCTGAATGCCTCATCCGTAACTTTGCAGCCTGGCACTAAGCAAGCAGGTTGTGAGCCCCGCAGATACAAATGATCCAGGGTCTACTGGCCTTGTGCCATAACACTTGCCTAAAACAATGGGTAAATACATAAAGGAAGGAGGCCCTGTGGAGAAGGTAGTTCCCCAAGACTTGCAAGGTCTGGCTTGAATTTTCTGTTGCCGCAAAAACTCCCTATGTGGCCTAGACAAGTCACTCTAGGACTGTGCAGGTAACAGCACTGCTCTACCTCAGCACTATAGTCATTATAAGATCAGGAGGTGCCTGAATGCCCTGGTGACAGAGGCCACATATATTGCCTAAAACAAACTGTCCGAATGAAGTGGGTAACCAGATGGGAGTCCTCCTTTATGGGAGGAATTGTGATTTATGCTATTTGTCAATGTTTCTGCAAACCCCAAAGAAATCAGCATGCAATGCATCAGCTACTGCATTTTATACTGAGCAACATGAACTTGATCCAAGCAAGGCTGTGTTCATCCTTATACCTTTACAAAGCGCCGGTCACCGAGTTATAAGCACTATGTGTGGATTTGCAAAGAAAGGCAGGCAACCCAGGGGGCGAGGAGTAATGCCTGCTTCTGGGACAAGATAAGATTTGGGTTGGGGTGTTGGATGCACACACACATTAGATGTGTATGGACACAGATCTTTGAATGATCTCTGTCTCAGGCACTTTTGTAATGACCTTCAAAGTTACATTTGATAATTCATGGGGTGGGATCCTGGACCCCAGGAAGGCTGGAGTCTGGACTTCACCCACAGCCCCTCATGTACCAGCACAAATCAGACATTTCTCTTCCTTATCCATCTGGCAAGGAAGCCTGAAGATATCCCCCAGGGGCTCTATAAAATAAGCTCTCTGGAGAAGCTGGGCTTAAGTGCCAGAGCAATTGCTCTCAAAGCCCCAGTGATACTTCAAAGGGGCTACTCAAGGCAGTGGATACTGAAGTATGTTTTACAACTGAGTAAGAGAAATCCCAGCCCTGCCATCCCCTGGAAAATGCTAGAGTGGGTTACCTAGGCAAGAGAACTGGACCCCGCAGAGCATCATTACTGCTCACCAGACCTTTTAAAAATTACAAGTGCAGAACATGGCACTGACAATCTGCAAAAGTGACTTTTTTTAAATATCTTTTTAAAGAAAACTGTTTGTGATCCAAGAGCACTCATTTCAACTGGGTTAGTGTATATTCTAGGCTGCTAAGAGATAAACCTTTAATCTAGATATAAGACACTTTGCAACTCCCTCTCTGCAGTGAGCATGCAGGCAGGGAAGATCATCTGGATCGCCCTTGCTTTGCACCCAGGACACAGCCAAGGCAGAGCTTTGCCTGGAATTTCTTTCCCAATGAACGTCTGCAGAGGCCCTTCTGGGGTATTTCCAAGGCCCTCTCATACCTGACTACCCCTCTCCTGTCACACCTCTCAGCATGCATTTGATTACTTGCTCCCTCTCCGTTTCCCACCAATTCCTCCTCCTAGGTTTTTAGATAAACTGTCTCAGTGCCACAAAGCTCAATTTTGGGGTTAATTTTTGAGACTTGCGCAAATCTCCTGTGTGCTGTCTGCAGAGGCAGTTTATCAATCAAATCCCTGAACGTGGCCATAGGGAGAGCAAGGGTCTCATGTTAGCACATCCCCCTTAATACACTGCAGTCACTCTGGGGCAAAGCTTGTGCCTCTCCATACATCCATAAAGCATCTAATACGTTGCGGATGCAGCAAACATCTTGTCACAAGACCATGCTGTACATGCGCAGGGTTTTTTTTACAATTTAAATGATTTTAATGTGTTGTGAACTAAACTACATCTGCATGTAATTTAGTTTGCAACGTAGCTATTTGTAATGTTGTGGCTTTTGATAGCTGCCCCCCCCTTCCCCCCGGAGAGGCAGGCTGAAGGCAGAAACAGTGAGAAACCCCGATCCTTTTTCTTTTTTTTTTTTTTTTTTGCAGAGCCTGCCCATGTCTCCCACGGTCAGGGGACGAGCTGCCGGTGGGCGCTGGACCTTCCTTCCACAGTGGTGGTGCCCCTGGGAGGCTAGCTAGCAGCCCAACCAGGCAGCCCTGGGGGACAATGCTGCCACGGAGGGAAAGACCGGGGCCCCCCTCAGCTCAGGGGCCGCTCAGCTCGCTGGCAGCCTGCCCTCCAGCCGTGGGAGGCAAGCTCCATGCAGGGGGGTGGGGGGAGTGTGGAAGGATCAGGCCCCTCACCATAACCGTGATGGAAGCCCCTAAACTGAAATGGTGGGTTTTTAATCGTCACAGTTAAAAAACAACCATTTCAATTTAGGGGACTAAACCCTTGCCACGTGTACAATCAGCCATGTAAAACAAGGTTCATAGGATGATAGGAAAGTAGGGCTGGAGGGGACCTTACAAGGTCATCAAGTTCAGCCCCCTGCTCAAGGCAGCATCATTCCTGGCTAGACCACCCTATCCACGTGTCTGTGTAACCTGGTCTTGAAAACTTTAAAGGATGCCCATTCCACTTCTCTAGACAGCCTATTCCAATGCCTGACCATGCTCCTAGTCAGAAAGTTCTTCCTAATCTCCAACCTTAGTTAAATTCACACAAGTTAAGATACTTCCATTAGCCCAAGCCACGAGAGGTAACAGCCAGCATTTAATGTAATTTAGACCTGACTCAATGCCAGACTCCCTCTGAAGTCCCAGCTGTGCATACATAATTACTACTGAAAGGGACCCTTGTGTTTTATTTTCGAATTTTCAGGAAGGAAAGTTCCAGTTGTGCATGGATACTTACGGGAGACACTGAAACCAAAGATGTTTTCATAGTCTTTAAGCAGCTTCTTTAGCAAGGTGCTCTTTCCTGCTCCTGACGGGCCGCTCAGCACGACGGGCCTTGGTCCCTGCATGGCTGGGGAGGGAGGAAGGCAAGCAGGTGCCTTGGTTAAAACACACAAAATCAGGGGAAAACCATAGCAAAGTTCCAGCAGGTGCCTCCTCCTCTGCCTTTGAGAATAAACTTTAGCAGCCAAAGGTCAGATTCAATGTTCAATGCCGTGGCCTCAGAGAGGAGCAGAACAGAAGCTAGTCAGGGAACAGCGATCAAGTCAGACGAGCATATGCTAATTCCCATGCTGTGCAACTGAAACCACTAGTTAGGTGCTGGTGGTGCAAAGGGATGGACCGACAGCCCTGAAAGTGATGCCCTTTCTCCTTGGAGTAGATACAAGATGAACAGAAGCAGTGCAGCAAGGCTGCCTTCCTGCAATATGCTCCTGTCCCCTTGGTCCTTACCTGGAAGGGTCTTGGATAGGGGTAGGGAGCTCGGTCACCATGGCCCAGGCAGCCATGGTTTCTCTGCCAAGACAGCTGACAAGCTACTGCCACATGCAGGGCAGGTCTCTGTGAAGTGGATGCTTGTCCCCAAGGAAGTGAAATCCAACTCACTTCCTGGACCCAAAAGGAGCAGTGAATGGAAGCGAGTTCCTGTTAAGCATGGACATACAAAAAACTAGAACTCTTGGTTCCAAAATGATACCTTTTATTAGACCAACTGGAAAATGGCAAGAAAACTGTCCTTTTCTGCAAGCTTTCGGGATCAAAGTCCTTTCAGCAGGCTCTGGGAAAAGTGTAGATGGTACAAGATGGTAAAAAGTCCTCATAGGTAGGAAATAAACTTCATTTTTGCACAGAGGGAGTTGAAGATGGAAGGCTGTCCCTCTGGGTCCATGAGACTGTCTTTGTGAGCTGTGCTGAGTAGCTCCCTATTGAGCAGGGAGGAATTCAAATTGGCATCTGCATAGCTCAACATCCATCAGGAATGGATCAAGCCATTCAGTCCCTGGAATGGATGCATCTAATAGGAGAAAGAATAAAACCTCACTGAATATTATAAGGGAGGAAGAGCCTTTAGATTTGTAGCTTGGAAATATGTTCTTTTATTCTGAGCTATGGACTCGAACCATATGTTCTAGTGCAGAGGTGGGCAGCATACTGCAAGTGGCACGGACAGCCTCTGTGTGTGGTAAACGGCACATTACGGATGGGACAAGCAGCCCAGTGGCAGATAGAGCAAGAAGCAGAAAGCAGAGCAGCAGACTGGGCAGGGAAAGGGGACCAGGGTGGCACTTGGGGAGGATGTGGGCTTAATTTGTGCACCCCTGCCAAAAGGTTGCCTTCCACTGTCTATGCCAGCCTTCTCTTTTACGCATCTATGAAGTACTGCACACACCTATTAAATGAAGGCGACCTAAAACCCCCCACTAAATTGCATTTCAAGGTCTACAGGAAGTGGAGTTTCTAAAAACCTGTTTCACTTATATTTAGCTGCATCACTAACGTGGACTTGCATCAACACATCCTGATCCAAGTGATGCACAAATAAGGATTGTTGGTGCAACATACTTGGGAGGCAAGAAATCCAATTCTGGGTCATAAAAGCTCAGTTCACAAAGGGAGAGGTAGAAGGGCTACTACTGACCCAGACACCGTTACTGAATTTAACAGCAACAAGGTGAAGCACCTGTTCAGAGAGAAATACCTTGGGAAGTGAGAAAAGGCAGTAAAAAGTTGGAGCTGGTTGACATAGGCTAGACATCAGGAGGCGCTACTTCATGGTCAGGGCGGCTAGGATCTGGAACCAACTTCCAAGAGAAGTGGTGCTGGCTCCTACCCTGGGGGTCTTTAAGAGGAGGTTAGAGGAACACCTTGCCAGGGTCGTTTGACCCCAGTACTCTTTCCTGCCATGGCAGGGGGGCAGACTCGATGATCTGTTCAGGTCCCTTCCGACCCTACAAACCACGAAACATCTATCCAAACACCTTGCCCAAAATAAAGCCATTCCCCATCCCAATCATACAAGGAGTAGAGCAGTAAGAGAAGCCCCTCACACACAACTGGACATAGACCTTTAACTCTAGGGCTCCAAATCCAGCTTTTTAAACTTTACCAAAAGCGTGCAGAAAAGCACATTAATGTGCTACCACCCTCTGGGTCATGTTACGAGGACACAGCAGACACAAGTACCACCCTTGGCAGAGAGGGTGGATCTTGGTCTCTCACTAGTGGACGGTCTACAGCAGAGGACCCTACACACTAGAGGCATTATACTTAAGGCCACAGCATAGCAGAAACAGGAGAACAGTGGTTCTCAACCTTTTCTGACTCGAGGGCCCCTCAGAAAATGCCGGCACTTAGGTTTCACTCATTTTCTGACCATGAAGAAACAATACAGCAGTTCTTCTGTTGCAACCTCAGAAAGCCCATGGCAGGTCAGAATGCTTTTGATGCTACGCATTCCTATTTAAAACCTCTGGGTTTACCTTGTGGATCATGCAAAAGTGTTTGCACACCTACCCAAACTAATCTTGTGCAGAAAAGGATTTGGCAGCACCCTGGTTGAGCATCACAGCACTAGAAGTTTGCACATGGGAGGTCCCAGGTTCAAACTCCAATGAAGTCTGTCCTTTAAAGGAACATCCCACCATCTCCCAATGTCCAACAGGCGTTCTGGTCGCTGAGTACATCACCTCCTGCCTTGGCATGTGCAGACAAGACTCACTGAGGATACTGAAAACTAGAAGCTAGGCTTCTTCCAGCATTTGACCCAACTTGCTCTGTGACTTTGAGCCAAACAACCCACCATTTGAGGGGGGGAAATCAAAGAAAGAGGACTATTTACCTTCACACTTCCCTTGGGTAGGAGGAGAGTTACTACTAACCAACTTGCCTGTAATGTGGAAATTTGTGTACTGACACCTCAAAGGCACAACCCTACTGAACCAACTGATTCGGTGGGTCTCTCCTCAAATGGAAGAAGACGGAGAGCACAATTTAAGCCTGCACAGATTTTCCTGAGAAAATACATTTTTGCAAGCAGAAAAGCTCCCGGTGCCCCATTTCCTGCCCCATTCGTTTTGGAAGGGCTCAGAAGTCAAGCACTAGAAAACCCTTAAGCTTTTTAATGGGGATCTCAGCAATCTCACCTTGACCCTGCAAATCGCTTTTAAAATAGCCTCGTATCCAAGGCAGATGCTTGCAGGATTAGCTCCTGCCATATTCCCGCTGCAGGCGTATAACTCACTTCCGACTCTGCTCAGGTCGACAAGAGCAGGCTGGAGGCTGGCATATTCCCCAGTCTCATCTGCAGAGCACCACAGCCTGCCCGGGCACTTATGTTTCACACTCCAATTTCAAAACCAACAAGAGTCCTCTGCATATCTCATGAGGAGGCTGCTGGGTGTTACCAGATATTTTCTCCCACAAGCACTGAAGGAGAAGCAAACTTGGAAATACAAATGAAGTCTTATTTATTCAGGAAGGACTTCAATTTTTTTGGGGTGGGGTGGGGACAAGGAACACCCCAACTGCAATTCAGGTGGGGATTGGATTATTTTATGCTCATAATGGAGTCACAACAACTGGAAGATAAAGAGTCTTATTAAGTTGTCTAATCTATTCCCCGAGGGACAGAGGGGAATTGATCCCGATACAATGAATGCTGTCACATCTCGTTTCCCAAGTTTCTTTTGGGAGTGGTACCCATGGCTTAATCAGCCTGTAGGATAGTGGTCCAGGGAGTCAGGCTGTGATGTCCCCAACTCTTTAGCCACATGCAAGTATTAGAAGTCCTGCTAATTACTGAAGAGGAGAGAATATATCCTTCCCCCACCAGCCGACGGAGCGTAAAAGGGCTGGGGCAGAGAAAGAGCCCTGAGTTCTTGTGAAAAATCACTCACCATCTGTTTTCTCAAGTCTCCACTTTTCCTCATCCATAAAGCAGGGACCCTAAATGATGAGTCTTAATTAATGCTCATGAAATGCTACGGGAAAGAACAAGGCGGCATTAATGGGGGAATATTATTTCCTTCCAGGACAGTACTGGGTATAGAAGGGGGCTCTCCCCAGCACTATGTGATTTTTCTTCCATTACACCCAGTATCACCTTTGACGCACATGGTCTTCTTGCCCTTTCTGTGCCTACCAGCCTTTAAAAGTAACACACCAAGTGTGATGGCCAAATGCTGGTGCAGACCTTTGTCCGTCAGCTCAGCGTTAACAACTCACTCTTCCTGGGGCACCTCTGTCCTTACTCCCTCGCACAACCCGAGACGAACTCTCCGTCTCCCATTTGACGTACCAACTGGGAGTGCTCAGAAGATTCCTGCTTTCCCCTTTCATTCTTCCTTTCTCCTCTCCTGCATTTATGTCTCTCTCTCCAATTTTCCTATTTATTAAGAGAGAGGAACTGAAAGCAATCAATATATGTGACAGTAACTTCACTCTGCTCAAGAGATCCAGGAAAGAGCAGCGGAAACACCCCTTGCTTAACAGCCCCGGTGAATTAGCAACGCTCCCCTCTTATCACCGCGAGCCTTACCTCTACCTTTTATGTCTTCCGGTCAAAGGATAAAATCCAGCTCTTGGGAACAGCAGCCAACAGATCAGACAAGTGAGCAGGCAGAAAGCCGGCTGCATCTGCAAGTATCGTAAGCCTTAATTACAGATTCGCCATTTTAAGACAGCCAATGAGCACCTTCTGCTGATCTTTAATCTTCTCCTTTGGTTTTTTCTGATCTCCCTACTCTTCTTATTACTAAACCTTCAGGCATGCAGGAGTCGCACCCTGGTTACTGGCAGCATATGCTTTCCACTTCAAAGCATATCTGGGCTTTAAGACATGCAAATGATCAACTCCAATGACCACCTATATGCAAACCTACCCTGCTTTCTGCCTGAACATCACAGACAGCGTAGCAATGCTTTTTATTACAACAGGGAAATGGTTTGCTATTTCATAGAGAATCACAGAGAAGTGGGGTTGGAAGGGACCTCCAGATATCACCTAGTCCAACCCCCTGCCAGAGGCAGGATCATCCTTATCCAAACTATCCCGTACAAATCCATCATCTA